AAGAGGAGGCAGCCTGCCTTTGACACCGTTTGGCTGTGGCTGCCAGTCTTGCCTTTTCGCCCTCCATTGCTGTCTTCTTCTTCTCAGTGGTTGGGGGCTGGGGTGGGTTGGGGAGAACTGGGAGGGAAGAAGAATTATCACTGCCCTGTCGCTGCTGCCACAGAATAGTTTAAATCATTAACGTTGTTCACTTGCATCCTACTCTCCGTGACCCCATTTGGGGTTTTCTTGGCAGAGATACTACAGTGGTTTGCCATTTCCTTCTCAGGCTCACTTGACAGATTAGGAAACCGAGGCAAAAAGGGTTAAGTGACTCACTCAGGGTCACATAGCTAGTAAGTGTCTGAGTCTGGATTTGAACTCAGGCCTTCCTGACTCCAGGCCTGGTGCTCTATCCACCTAGCTGCCTTTAGATAACTTAAACACAAACAACTAAAATAATCAATGCACACAATTCCATCCTGCTCCTTAAAACAGGTCCAAAGATTTCTCCTTGGTAAAAATTTACCCCACTGGGTTTGCCTATGGCCAATTGTTGTGAGGATCAAATCAGATATTTGAAAAGCTCTTAGCACAGTGCCTAGCACAGAGAAAGGTCCTCAATAAATGCTTGTTCTCTTCCCCTTCCCTATGTAGGAGTCAAAGTATTTTTAAAAATGCATTTCTTCATAATTTTTATAATTAATTTTCTCTCTAATTCACGTCTTTCCCCTACTTTGTTTAATTTAGTAAGGTTTTACTGAATATAGAACCACAAGCCTGTGAGGCATATGACCAACTGGCTTTGAATTTAGACACTTTTAGAGTGCTATGTGTCTTATAGGATATTCCAAAAACCTTAGGGCAGTTATAAGCTATTAAAGCTTAGTCTCTGCTGTCTTAAGCTTTTAGAGCCCAAAAGTGCACTAAGACTGTTGAGATGCCCTGCATTTCTTAGGTGATAGGGTAAACTTGTACATGAGTTTTTGTTACCCTCTTTAGATGAAGGAAATGGCAATATTTAATTAGCAGAGTTCTCAGAGCCCAAAGACATTCAGGAAGCTTTCTGATGAACTTAACATGAGTCTAGCATTATAGAATGAAAGAATAACTTTTTTCAGCATGCCTTGGTGGGTGAACTGCAAATTGCCACGGAGGTGTTCTAGGGTAGGAAATGCTCATTTTCTTTGGGTATCTATACAGTCAGACATTGTGGCATGAGGTTCTAATCCTAGAAAGTATCACGAGTCCATGGGGGAATGGGAGTATGTAAAAGGAACTACCTCACCCAAGCGCTACCAAGATCCCTTGTGGCTTTTGTTGAGTGAAGTCTGGGGGATGATTTGAAGGGCACTCAAATTAGTGATCCATGGAGATAGGAGCATGTATAATATGACCATGTACTTAGAGCTAGAAGAAACCTAAAAGGAGTTAACAGGAATTTCAGATCATAACTCAGAGAAGTGTTCAAACCAAGAAGCATCAAGAGAAAGGAATTCAAAAGACAGACCTAAAAATGCTTAGGTCAGAAGGGCAGTATGGTGAGGTCTATGGACCCATTCTCAGAATAATGTTATGAAATGCATAAAATACATAGGAAGTCAATTGTATTGAAATAGTTACCAAAACGTATGTTTAAAAAACAAACAAACCAAGTTCAGGTTGAGAATACTTATACTTTTGCCTTACTTGCCACCAACAACCAAAATCCCTATACATCCTAGAAAGAATAATTTAGAAATTTTAGTTCCATATTCTGGGATTGGATAGCTCTGTGTTATATATACTCGTAATTATCTTACCTAAGTGTATTATTTCTGAATTTGTATATATCCTTTTTTATCTTTGTATATATTCTTTCCTCCTGTGAATACATTTCCTCTAGAAATGTTTTTCCCTGGTGCAGGAGTTCTTGGTATATACAAAGAAGGAGGTTATGAGGGTTAGGATTCTACCTGAGTTCTTGGGGACAGATGGGACAACCTGAAGAAAGGAAAAGATAATAAAGCATTGAATATGGTATTCCTCTGGACCTAGGGAATAACCAGTCTCAGGAACCAGGAATGTTAAGGGGGTTTGGTATCTCAAGTTGCTATTCAACAAGGAAAGTTTAGAAATTAGTAAATGAGGTAGTCTTGGGGCTAAGGACAAGGTTATGAGGACTGGCTTTGAGAAGAGCTGAAATCCCTGGAAAACTCAAGGTTCAGGGCTGAACATAGAAGGGGCTTAATAGATATTGACTGACTGACCAATGCAACAGTTGGGTCAGAGAGGGAAGCCAGAAGCCCGGAGAAACCTTCACTAGGTCAGTTTGGTGCTGGCTGACCCTTTCCTGTATTCTTGATTTCTAGTACCTGATATTACTTTGACAGACCTAGTAGGAAGCCTAAGGCTTAAAACAGAGAGAACACCCAATGCTTCTTCCACTTTCCACCTTGTATTCCTCTTCTTCCTGCTCTTAACCTCACAACTTCCTTGAAGTTCCTTCGGTTGACAAAGAGTCAACACATGCTTAATTCTAATTTTATTTTTTTCATTTTTAAATTTTTTTCTAAAACTTAAATACACAATAAGAAAAGAAAAAGAAACATATTATAAACTTAAATATTAAAACTTAAATACAAAGTAAGAAAATTTTAAAAAAATGTCATGTGTACAGCAGACAAGAGAGGATTCAAAATATAGAGCAATAAATTTCCATCTCAAGAAAGCCTATGTATTAAATACTATGTGTTGTGTTGAGAGCTATCCAGCTTTTCTTTGCTTCTTTCCTAATTCTAATTTTAAAACAAAGTAATGATGAGTCCATTTAGGATGATAGCATTTAGACAGACTTTAGATGAAACTTAAAGGTTTACAAAACATTTTCTTCACAACAATCCTGCAAGGTAGACAGTACAAATATGTTACCCCATTTTATAGGTGAGAAATTTGAGTCTGAGAGGTTAAGTGACTTGCCTATGATCATATAGCTAGGAAATGTTAGAGGAAAGATTTGAACCCAAATTTTCCTCTCTCCAGGTGTAGCATTCTGCTGTGTGTGACCCCAGCAAGTCACTTAACCTCTTCCTGCCTCAGTTTCCTCATCTGTAAAATGGGGATAATAAGAGCACTTATCTCTTAGGGTGGTCAATAGGATCAAATGAGTTTCTATTTGCAAACCTTAAAACCCTATAGAAATGCTGGTTGTTATTATTAAGGCCCAGTGAAGCCCATTAGCCACTCATTGATTTCAATGTGGTTATGGGTATGGGCCTGAAAATCTTATCTAAACCATAAACTATTAACTATTAACATAAACCATAGAACGATTCACTATTAATTCAGGACACATAGTTTCACTCATGGTCCCTTGGTTGCTGAAGCACTCCTGGGTGTGAATCCAGGAATCCCTAGGGATAAAACTCACTTTTGGGAAAGTTGCTAGAGTTGACCTTAGTGTCTGTGCCCAGGGGCTTGGGATCCAACGTTGGAGCTCTTTCAGTTGCCATATCTGCTCCTGATACAACCTGGGTGAAGCATGCTGCAGAAAAGTTTCAACGTCACCCTTAGTCTCCTGGGGTGTTAGTGTCTAAGGAAGAGAGACTGATTGTTGTGAGGAATCTAATACACAAGACTTTCAGGCACAATGAACCAAACACACCTTCTCCCATTTATTCATTTGAGTCACATTCATAAATGGAATACTTATTTAAGTAGCAGAATGTCAAAGCTGTAACAAATATAGTCCTTAACCCACTGCCCTGAAACTGTTAATCCCAACACTGATTTTAAGCAGGCATTCTAAGATATGGCTGTTACTAAGCTTTAAATATGCACGTACTAGTGATAACATGTACTTTGAGAGCTGGCTTTCTATTATTAATAGGATGAGATGCAAGGCTTCTAATTAAGCATGAAACAAACCACTGTAAACTTTGCACATTGCACATAATCCTATTAGAGGGTTACTGCAATTCTAAATTGTTTCTCTAATACCCCCATGATTTATTATAGGATCTCAGTGGATGCATCTTATTGCTTCATATTGGAGCTTCACGTCTGGCTTATCTTAATGTGGGTGATGACCCCTTTGGGTTTTGTAAAGCAATATCTAAAAATCATTAATCCTAAATGACTCATCACGCTATGTACCTAATAGCAGCAGGCTCATCTGTACTGTCTCCTTCAGATTAGAGCTATATTACCCAATTATTTATCTATTCTTGCAAGAATTTGTATATGAATTTGGCGTGCTCAAAATTGCATCTAGAGCAACTTGGTAGGCATTTTGTAGAAGGGAAAAGAATCCAAAGATGTCAATTCGATTGGAGACCCCACTGCAATATTCCTATAGTTGGGAATCATTTATTTTCTTGCTTTACAACATGCTTTATTTTCCTCTTCCCTTTGCTTTCACATTCTTTGCTAATTAGTTTTACAATTGCTTGGGACACCAACTGGTTGTGTCACTTTGGACAAGTCTTAATCTCTCACTTTAAGGATTCTATTCTGTACAATGAGGTCACTAGATGAGGTGCTAGGAAGGTCTCTTCTGGTTATAACACTCTAGAGTAAGCGCTATGTCCTTGAGACTTGTAGAAATACTTATAGAACTAGTTTTATGCAGGGCTCCAATGGAAAATGAACTCTAAATGTCTTTCCTTCTCTTTTCTTTCTCCTTTATCTCTTCCCAATAATTCACCTCTAAGTGGCACAGTGGATAGGGTTCTAGAGTCAGAGTCAGGAAGACCCAATTGATCTGAACATTGCTTAGGACATACTCCCTGATAGTGGTAAATAACTTCCAGCAAGCCTACCTACATCTCCCTGTTTTATGAATTACTTGACTTTAATTATCAAAGGATCACTGAACAGAGTTCTCTCGACCTTTGCATTTATCAAGGAATCTTGTATTAGCTTTATATGTGCACAAGGGACTTCTTGCTGGAGAAGGACAAGATGACATTTAGCATTATCAAATCTAATGTTTTTGTGTAATCAACAAATAAACAGCATCTTGGATTCTCTGTCTCTTTCAGGAAATTATGTAACTGTAAAGGTGTGATCTGCTGTAGAAGAGAGTTTTTGAAAGCCTGCCTAACCCTTTCTCATGGTTTCATCAAGAACACCTCAAGACATATAGAGGCCATTCCTACAAAGATTCTGTAAAGATGAGAAAGGAGGCCTCTTAGTAAGTAGTGATGGGTGTTATTTCACTTGATTTTTTAGATGATATCATGAAAGTTTTCCCCAAACTCTGATTCTGATGCCTCACTATAATGTTGAGGTGAGCCTGGACTTTTGAAGACTAATCCAGAGGACAGTGTGCTCTGATAGGTTCTTCTATCTTGAAAAAGCTTTGGGTTCATTCTTGGCACCAAACCAGATGTGCTTTCTGAGAACCCTCCTAGCTATGCATAAAAAGTCTCATCATCAGTAGGCTGGTCAGGTGGTAATGAATTCTTTGGCCACTGAAACCCATAAAACAAAGAAGAATACAAAATGAAGCTTAAGTCTTCCTAGCTCCCCTTCTGAGTCTTCAGTGACAGAAGTAGGGGAGGGAGTGGTGGGAATGGTGGTAAGAACACAATCTACTTTAGACATTTATAAATCCTAATTTAACTCTTGGTACTCTAAATGTGAGATTCTTTTTCTAGTAACCAATGAGTGAGAGGAATTGAATTATATCAAAATTGATATTCTTGCAGGAAATAAAATCAGAAGACATAAAGAAGTTGCAGCTAAACAGAAGAATGATTCCACAGGTTCCCCTGGGAACATCACTAAGAGAGGTGACAGCAACCAAAGAGAACAAGAAAAACCATTTCATGGAACATGTGGCCATCTCATATTGCAGTGCTTGTAATCAATATTTGTGAAGATGACCATAAGGAAGATAATTGCATCTAAGTTCCATAAAAAAACAAACAAACTTGATAAAACATTCCCAGCCAAATTAACTTACATGGCTTTAGAGCAGAAGTATATACTTACTAGGCAGAGTACTGGGCTTAGAGTCAGGAAGATGAGTCTTCCTGAGTTCAAATCCACCCTCAGACACCTGCAGGCTGCATGACGCTGTGCAAGTCACTTAACCCTATTTGCATTAGTTTCCTCGTTTGTAAAATGAGTTGGAGAAGGAAATGGCAAACCACTTCAGTATCTTTGCCAAGAAAACCCCCAATAAGGTCACAAAAAGTCAGACACAATTGAAAAATAACTGAATAACAAAATATACTTACTGGCTTTAGATATTTAGTGACTTTAGGGCAGAAGTGGGCCGAAGAAAGAACATCAAGAAATATACTGGAAAACATGGTTGAAGAACAAGGAAAGAACCAATGATGAAGCATCCTGCTTACCTTCTGATAGAGAGGTAATGAAGTCATGGTGCAAAACGAGACATATTTTTGGATGTAATCAGTGTAGGGATCTGTTTTGCTTAACTATGTAGATTTGTTACAAGGGTTTTTTTTCCCAATGGGAGAAAGGAGGAGAGAGAGAAAATAGATTTTTGTTTATTAAAATAATTTAATTTAAAAATAAAAACAAAGGAATAAGAAATGAGAGGCCAAGTGCTTAATACAGAAAAATCACATGTATAAATCATGATTACTTTCTTTGAAAAGAGAGTCTAGTTTGGAGGTGTTGGGCATGGCAAGCATCAAATAACTTCATAAAAAATGAAACTGGACATATTTTCATGGACAAGAAATGACTGGTTACCAATGAAGGAATCATTTAGGTATCACCTGCCTGTATATAGAAAGACCACCAACTTATTGAAGTTCAAAAACAATACCAAATTACAAGAAAAAGTTTTAAAAATGATAAAAGACAGGGTGCAACAATAGTTCAAGTTCTAACTTGAACTATTTAAACAAGTTGTTGATGCAAAAAAATGGGGAAATGAATAATGCATAGATGATCACTATCACCTAAGGAAATTTAACTGGTAGAAATCAATTGCTACAATGAGGAGACCACTTCAATCAGTTAACTCTTTCCTTACCAAGCAGAGGGATACACAGCCAAGGCACACTATTTTAGACTATAAACTTATTTGTAAAATCTTATGGAGGATGGTAGAAAATTATGATCTGTTTACTTCATAAACCATTAAGAAACAGTGGAAGGAAAAACAATTTTACAGAAAGGTTGATAACAGACCAAATTGAGGCAGAATATTCTGAGGTCATTTATGGATGAAACTGAAAGGAAGACAATGAATAATGATAGAATATTGTGTTCTGCCTATCCAACCACATCTGTATTACTGTATTCAGGTATAGGTGTCAATATTTAACAAAGCCACTGATGACCTAGAGATCACCCACAAGAGGGCAACCAACACTGTGAAGGGCTTTGAGTATATCCATGCCACATAAAGGTCAGTTGAAATAACTAAGGATGTTTAGACTAGAGAAAAAAAGGTCTCAAGGGGAACATAATACCTTTCTTTAAATATCTGAAGGACTGTTACGGGGAAAGAGGGATAGCAAAACATTTCCATAAGGCTCTTTTCCAAAAAGTGTCTCAAATGCACATATCAAAATCATACAAGATTCTTAGAAAGATATAACAACAGGGGTAATTTTGTTTGGCAGCTCTCTGATTATTAATATCAAGTGAGACATCAAACACAAGAGTGCTATGCTTATCAATACTGTTCTCACCTTCCATGAAGGATGTTTAGCACAAAGCCCAAATTAAAGGATCCTTTATAAATTATGAGGTCCTCCAGATGTTTCTGATTGTATCAAGCTCTGGAACACTGAAGAGCTCTATAAATGCGATTCACAATAGCTCAAGAGTTTGACTCAACTATCCACATGGGGAAAAAAAGTAGATGAAGAATGTTTACTTTCAGACTATGGTATACAGTTCTACAGACAACTCAGAGAACATATATACACACATATATATATACACACACACACACTATATCTGTATACACACACATATGCACATACATACACATACATATAAATACATACATGTATGAATGTGTGTATATATACATGCACACTATATGTGTTATACACACACACACACACACACATATATATATATATATGTATGTATATCTGTATCAACACTATAGGTCAAGAACAGCTTGGCCTAGATTTGAGGAAGTAAAGGATGAACTAGATTAGCCTGGGGAAATTACAAATATTTTTAATGACCCTAAACTTCTCCCTAATACAAAGATTCTTATTTTTCAACATCAACATCCTTCTGGTGATACTATATGGCCATGTATTATGGAATACCCCAGCCTCCAAATAATTAAAGTTGTGGGTTATCCAAAGGGCAATGAAGAAGCTCATAGTGGTTATGAGTGGTCTTCAACATGTTATCAATGTAGAATTACACAAGAGAGCTAAAGGGTGACTTCAAAGAAATATATGACCTGAATAGAAGGTTGGCCAGTCATGAGGTAAGAACAAGAAAACCCAGGGGCAGTGTGTGATCCATTGGTATCTGCTTAGTGTCAAGATATATATAGAGGAGATGCAGCATGTTGGTTGGATCCAATATGGAGCATTTTGGGGAAGACATGGATAAGAGCTGTGTAGGATGAAAAAGCATGGATGGGTTAGCATGAACTACAAGAGAAGGACTTAATACTGCTGAGATCATAGATCTATTGAAGTATTAGCAAATATAATATTGAGGTAATTTCTAAATGATGTACTCTACAGAACAAGTATAGTTAAGACTCAACAAAATTTTAAAGTCTATAAACATACAGCAAACCAGCTGGTTTTCTTAATTAGCTCCAAGAAAAACACAGACCATCAGAGTTGGAAGGGAGCTTAGTGACTATTGACTCCAGCCCCTTCATTTTGAAGTGGGAGAAACTGAGGCCTTGAGAGGGAAAATAACTTGTCTAAGGTTACAGAGCTATAGGAAATAGCACAAGAAGGGCTCAATCCTAGTCTTTTGCTTGAATTCCAGTACTCTTCCAAGAAGCCATATTGCTACAGTTGCTCAACCATTCACTCAGACACTAGAGGTACTTGAAGGTACATTGTGCACCTGAAAGTGACAAGGGTTGGATTAGATTATCTATAAAGTCACTTATGATAACTGAATCATTATAATAATATTAATAATTATATATTAATATAGTTTATATATTAATATTAATAGCTAGCATGTGTATAATGCTTTAAGGTTTCCAGAGAGCTTTACAAATATTATCTCATTTCATCCTCACTATAGTCCTACGTGGGCATCCCCATTTTACAGAAGAGGAAACCGAGGCAGAAGGAGTTGTTAAGTGGTTTGCCCATGGTCACAGAGCAAGTATATGAATGAGGTTAGAGCTGAACTCTTCTGTATTCCATGTCCTGTAGTCTATCTGCTGTGCTATCATTAAGGTTCAGATAAGGACCCACTCTACTTTAGAACCCACAATCTAAATTTTTTTTCAGAGAAGAAACCAGGAACAAAATGGTCTCACTAAAAGGCATAGGGCAATCCAGATGAGTAAACCCATGCTCGGGCCAAAGCAAACAAATGACAGGAGAGAACAGGACGTGATGTTATCTGGATAGCTTCGGAATGCTCCGAAAGCACACACTCCTACTCAGAACCCAATATCCAACCATCTAAAATGGGTTCTTCATCTGAGGTCCATGAACTTTAAAAACTCTTTTTTGATAATTGTATTTCCATGGAATTGATTTCCTTTGTAGTCCTGTGTTTTATGCATTAAAAACCACTGTTCTGAGAAGGTCCATAGGCTTTACCAGACTTCCAAGGAGGTCCAGGATATGAGAGAAAAGCTTAAGAAGCCCAGATTTTAGCTTACAAAAAAGGTAACTAGGATAGTACCTATGGAAGTGCTTGATAAATGTTTATTGACTGATTGATTATAGGAACAAATAATCATGGACTTAGAGCCAGAAGGGCCCCTAAAGGTTATTTAATCCAATCCCCCTAAGTCTACAAATATGGAAATGGAAGCCTAGAGAGGCTAGGAGCCTTTCCCAAGGACAGCTAGTAAATGGTAGGGGAGGGGAGTCAAACCAGCTTCTGACTCCAAATGCAGCATTCCTTCCATGGCATAAAATAATTCATTGGTACATTAAAAATTCAAAATACATATTTGCAAATAGGCATTTATTTAAAAAAATAGAAGAGGGAACTGAGTATGTATACCAGTCACACAGGGAAGGGAATAAACATTTATGTAGCACTACTATGTGCCAGGCACTGTGCTGAGTGTTTTGACAAAGATTTCATTTGATACCCACAACAACCCTTCGAGGTAGGTGTTATTGTTATCCTCATTTTGCCATTGAGTAAACTGAGGCAAACAAAATTACTTGCCTGGGCTCACACAGTTCCTAAGTGTCTGAGGCTATATTTGAACTCAGGTCTTGCTGACTCCAGGCCCAGCAATCTATCTGCTGTACTACGGGCCACCTACAGTATTTTACCACTGATTAATTTTAGCCTGATGGAGGGCCAAAAGAAGTTGAGCTTACAATATACACTTAATAAATACTTGTTAAATTGAATTGGATTACATTGATACTACTATAAAGGAAGGAGAATGTATTCTAATGATCCTTTTTTGTAAGAAATTTCATAACCATTGTTAAAAATAATATGGGAGGGAGAGGGATACTAGATTGGAAGGGCCAGTTCTTATCAATATTTCAAAAACATCTATTATTTCATCAGCATGGGAAGTCCCTCCTCCCTACCCCGGGTAGATGACACCCTCTCTGTTCCCTTTGTAGACGGTCTTCATGTGAAGGTACGGCCAAGGACATTCATTGACTAGTGGCTGACCTTTTGGCATTGAGCTTCTCTGAACTTAGCTGGGTTGACCCTCAGGTGATGGGCCCGCTGGGGTCACGTCTCAAGTTTATCAGGACTTCCCAGAACTTGGGCTGGTACAGCCTTAAGGAGCCCAATCTCTACACTACAAAGAGGTGGAGGAATTACCCTCATAGTGAGAAAGCATTTATCGGGCATTTACTCT